GCGAGCATGAGATGGCTGACAAGTTGTTGTGAAGGGCAATTAACAGGTAAGGGCAGGCACATGGGGCCTGTCAACTCTGGTCAGTAAAGTTCTGCCATCGGGACTAGAATAGCCAGAGGTCAAGAGGGGCTGAGAGTGGGACTGAAGTGGTGCATTGTGGGATGCCTGGCTATCACATACGATCAGACTTTCTATGCGATAGCAGAGGACAAGCTTAGCATCTCTTATTTCACAAACCTTTTGTGGGCTTTGTCCTGTGACAAGCAACAAGGATGTCTGAATATACTTGTGATTTGTCCAAAGAGAAAACGGGTGACATCTGTTAATAGCCTAAAATGCCATCCCACCCTAGACTTAATGATATTCTATTCAACTCAAACTAAAAACTCAAATGAAAACAATGAACAAAAGCTTTACATATTTTAAACTAAGTTTAAAGAGAAAGAACTTACCCCTTTCCACAAAATATAAACCTTAAAGAGGTCAAGTTTACAACAGTTTTTACCAATTTGGTTTTCATGAGGATCTTTGATACAGACCTACAAATATTTTAAAAGGATATACTGAATTAGAGGCTAGGACATTTATGCCATGAGGGTATAGGTATGCAAAATAATTCTAGTATCCTGCAATGAGATTTTAAGGTGCCTTTAAAGGAATTAAAATCTCCTACTCTCTCACATCTAAAGGACACCCTTAAAGAGCTAGTTCTTCAACACTCAGTACCTGTTAATTTTAGAATCCAGAGGCCTAGTGAAGGCACTCAATCATTTTACTGTGAAGCAATCGATATTGAGCAATTATTTTTTTTTGCTGCAACAAAACCAAACAACAGGAGAAAATTGCCCTTAACAGATTTATCAGATAAAGTATAAGACAGATGTGAAACTAGAACCTAGGCCAATTTATCCCATTTACTTACGTTAATTTAGTAAAGTCTCAAATCATATCGAGGAATGCTAATAGAACTTAAAATTTCAAACCAGATAGCAAGAATTTCAATTTTTATTAAGAATAAATATAATCACGTGGATGACTTACCAGAGTTGTGTAACTGCTTAGCTGCGCAACAGTCCTGCAATCCAGAATTAAAATGCTCTCTGACTTTAGTATCAGTCTTGTGCTACCTTGCTCAACAAAAGAAAATGTCATTCCAGAGTTTTAAAAGTAGATTTGGCTCATTAAACACACAAGTCATTCCATCAGTAGACACTATACCAATTTTCTCTTATTCTGGAAAACCATTACGGATTTATTAATGACTAAGACAAAGATCAGGATTCACTGTAAAATGACCATAACTTCTAGATTAAACCATTAAAATGCACAAAAGATTGGTATCAATCTTAAATAGTTTTGGAAACTGAAACTAGTGAAAAAGAAAACCACCAAATTTGGTAAACAGGACTTCCTAGAAAGAATGAATGCACATATCTGCACATATGCACACACCTCTGGCCTTCTGGGTAATTTTAAGATGCTGGGGGTTAACCTGTAAAATTTGTATTGCTCTACTGCTATGCTATGACCACTCCTCTTGTCTTGATACACAGCTGTACTGGAATTGCCTATTCTAAGTCTCCACTCATCTAATACAGGAGCCCTCTCTAGCTCATTTTAGTTTGATTGTCAGGGCACACAGAAGCCATATACCTGTGCTTATTTTTGTCCTTAAAGTAATAATACACCTAACCAGGAAACATCTTGGGCCAAATACAGATTATGTATTTGATTTTAGTGTGTGTTAGGCACCATAAATTCCTTTGTGGACCCGAACCCTTGCACCAAGTTTATCGCCTGATGTTTTTGTCTCCAGCAGATCTGGTTAAGAATTTGTCAACTAAATACTTTTTTTTTTTTTTGGCTAAACCCTCCTACCAAACTGGTACAACTCAAACTGCTTATGGAAAAGGATTGGTTTTGACCAAATTTCCTGTTTTTAAAAATTGAAAAAAAAATGAATAGCAGAATGTTTCATTTCCTCATTTTAGACAGATTTGTTTTTTCAGTTTGGAACAAAATTTTTGTTTCCAAATTTAAGTTACAGAAACATAAAAAGTTAAATATTAAAATCAAATAAAATGTTCACAATGACTTGATCTCTTTGTTTATTTTAGTACCCAGTACATTTTTGTGAACAAAATATTTCATCTTATCCAAGTCATGGCCTCTGAGAGATCCTTTCTAATATTCAGAGGCCTAAACTTAAAATCTCATGACACACAAAACACTTTAACATTTTCAAATTTTATTTTAAAAATATGTATATATTGTTTCCATTTAAAAGATTATTTTGGTTTCCTCTTCCCATGAAGCTATCAAGGATATTAGAATGAAAGGATTAAAAGACAAAACCTAAAGGGAAAGAGAAAGTACTCCTTTCCAGTCCATCCAGCATATGTGGTAATTTTAAAGTCCAAACAATAAATATGTAAAGGTATTTGTTTCTTATGTTCTGTGGTTCAAAGTACAGGACAAGATCTTGAGTTAATAGTTTTGTTTAAGCACAGACAATAGTAAGACAAGATGAAGCTCAACCTGAAGGGAAAGCTAGTAATGAAAGGTTAACAACAAAAAGCATACAAGTAAAAAACACAGGGGTAAACATACTGTATTTTTATCGCTAGCTGAAAAATGAGAAAACTCTCACAACTAAGCATCAGGTCCTAGAATATATACATGTATTCTTTCTTTTCCTGAAAAATTAAGGATCTTTCCTTACTGTCACGGAGTGGGGCCTGCGAGCAGCCGTGATCCCGCTAGCAGCCCCTTTCCGTGGCAATTAAGAGATCTAGCACCCTCGGATTCTAGCCCGCCACGTCTTTGTTCTTATTTAAGGTCATATGGGAGGCTGCCTATGATCTCCTGTGATCTTAGGGTGACTTGGTGCACCCCCAGCCTTATGGGCTATGCGTGCCTCCTACCTCCCCTTTAGCACACCCCAAGCCTCGCAGCTGTTCCTGACGTTCTTGCGT